TAATTAATTCATTTTTTAATATGAAGACGACTCCATGATTTGCCTGTGGATGTTAATTTAACTCATTCATGAAGAATTATTTACTTTTCATCAGTTCTTCGTCTTTTAAATGAGTCAAACTCGGAATCCTTGAAAAGCAGCGTTTGAAAAACACGAAGCTGCCGTTCAGCTGTAAATCACTTAGACGATGAACTCACTCGTGTGGTAGTTGTTGTAGAACCTGCTCGTAGAATCTCAGAATCAGGTCACTTCTCGTCAACAGAATTTAGAACCTGAAGGTTTTCAGAAAGTGAAACGAATCCTGCTTTGAGGATTTGAACTAGTTTCTCCACATAACACTCGAGCATGGTAAGTGAAAGCTTTACCATGGTGAACATTTGTTGAAGCATCCATAGACCACGTCATGTCCGGTCCCTTCTCACATACTTTACGTCATTAAGAGCCCGATGACTGAAGTAGGGTTTGCAGTGGAACTTGTGGCTATGGATGGAAATATGAAAAGTGGTGCTCACCCGCAATCTAAAATCTGAAATGCTTCTGTCGCGTTGTTTTTCAACATCACACAATCTTCTCCTGTGGGTTTGATTCCTGTTTGCAGCAAGGAGCAGCAGCGCTCAGCAAAAAGCATGTCGGTGTGGGAGCAGAGGACCAATCAGCTGAGGAGACACAACATCAGGGCGAGCAGCGAGGCCCTGTTCAACGAGCTCGACCCCGAGGAGCGCCTCCGCATGTCCTCCGCCCTCCATCTCCACCCTGACATGAAGACCCACCTGGACCGGCCGCTCGTGGTGGAGGCCAGGAACGGCGACAAACCCAGCAGGCCTCCCGAAGGAGGGGGACGGGACGAGGCAGGGAGTCCCCGGCAGGATGGGACAGGAGACAACTACTACGCTCACCCCAGGAAGCATCACCGCCACCGCGACAGAAACGGCGACGGAGGCGACGGCAGGGGGGGGCGGCACCACACCCATCACAGCAGGAGCAGAGACCACAAGGCTGAGCAGACGAAAGAGAGGAGGGCGGAGAGGAGCCACAGCCACGAGGGAGGGCAGGGACACAGGCACCACCACCAGGCTGGATCCCCCGAGGAGGAGACCAATGACGTGCACGGAGGAGGAGAAGAAAGAGGACATCGCCATCACCATTCTCATCGTCCACCCAAAGAGGGGAACGGGATGATGGCGAACGGTGCACAGGGAGAGCGGAAGGGCAGAGGAGGAGGAGGAGGAGGGGATAGTAACGGAGAGAGGAAGGGTCGCTGCTCTCGTTTGGTCAGAGCTCATTCGACTCTGGATGGAGACGACTGTAAGAGGAACAGAAACGGAGCCCGAGGCCACAGGTAAGGCCGCACATATCCTGCTCTGCAACCCACTTCCATATTCACGCCTACTTTAAATCCGCGAGGGTGCTTTACTTTTCTCAGAGAAATACTCCTCAAATATCTACTTATCAACATTTCCAGACGCAGAAGAAGCTGCGTTCAGCAAAAAAAACTCAGATAAACCCACCGCAACTGAAGAGTCGGATCTTTTCCTCAAGAGTTGGAGCAGAAGAACTGAGATAAAAGCTGGATGAATATTGGACTTATATTTATCAGTTGGCTTTAAAAAAACCTCCAAGTAAAAGCCGATGTTCCTTCCGTATCTGCTAAATATGTAGACGAGCACGTGTTTGCTCAGCAGTTCACAGTCTAAACAAACATGTGACGTCAGGGTTTCCATCGCAGCTTGTTTCAGTTTCACACGAGTGAACTTGTTGCTGAGCGTTGAAGTTCAGGTCAGGTCAACGATGCACCGTGTTTACAAAAGGAGGAAGTCGTTATTTTTTGGGGGGGGGTTTGCCATCAAGTGAAGCAGAGACAAACTGCAGCGTGACTCGCAGCTGAGATCGATTTATTCCCATCATACAGTTCTCTCTGGACTATTTCACTGAACAGAGGACGAAGGTGACTGAACATGTTGTTCACCGGATTGGACAAAGAAATAAATCTGCAGGCTTCTGCTTTCATCTGTAAAATTACATGAGCTGGAGAATCCGAAAGATAAGATAAATGTATTTATAGAGCAGCTTCTCTGGAGCTGACGACCACTCGAAGGGCTTTAAAGTTCACACACACATTCATACAGATAAAACAAGATAATCCTTTATTGATCCCCATGGGGAAAATCAGGTATTACAGCAACTCACTTACAGAATAAATACAAGTAAAAAGAAAAGATTAAAAATAGTAGAATAAAATAAAAAAGATTTACATAAGAACAATTAGACACGAAACTCAATGACCCAGAAAATTACTGCAGTGCATAATAATAAAGGCAGTTAGTACCATAGCAAAGATAATTATGATCAAACAGACTAGGATGTATAACATAAAAAGATATTGTAAGAGCAGTACAGTACAATAGAATACTCTTGTAGTATAATGATAATTGAAAACAGTTGTACAACCCTTTTGAAAAGCGCCCCACATCTTTTCTTTTTGATTTCACGTCTTCACTCCCTGTTTTTTAAAAACATTTTATTTCGTGAGGATCTGCTGCAACAGTGACGAGTCGTAGCGTCGTCTCCGCAGCCCTGAGATTGACCTGTGATGTCTCTGACTTGACTTAATTAATCCTCCTGTGGATTTTCTAGACGATGTGAGACACAAAAATAAAAGACATCATTTTGTTTTCTACATAAGTACGATATAAGTGTGTGTTTGGATAACTACCCAGTCAGACTCAACTTCTAGTTTGCTGCCAGATAATTTGCGGTCTGTGTCTCCCAGGAGGGCAAACAAACTTTTCTAACATGGATCCCATTTGGCAGAAAGAAGCTGGAGGCACAAGAGAGTGCGACTGTGATGCCTGTGATAAGATCCACATCTCTTTCTCCAGAGAGAAGCAGCCAGATGCCGAGGACAGCGGCCTCGCCTCCAGTCCTCTGCAGCTCATGCACAGCAGCCTGAGTCTGGGGGAGAAGCAAGAGGACGCCGACAACCAGAAGAACTCCACCAGGGCCAGTCAGGCAGGCCTCAACAGCAGCAACGCCATCCACATCCCCGTCACCATCACCGGCCCGCCCGGAGAGACCGCCATCATTCCCAGTGAGTAGAGCATAACGCCGCCATATCAACAGGAAGGTTCAGGGAAATAGGAAATCCATTTTTCCTTGATTTGTCCAAAATATTTGAAATGATTGCACATCGACTCCAAAACGTTCATCCAGGTTTGATTCGCTGTCGTACCTGAACATTTGTTTGAGTTTGTTTTAATTATTCAGGATCGATTCATTCACAGAAACTGGAATCCACAGGAAATGTCTCAACGAATACACTTGTTTTTCCACACCAGTGAACAGCATCGACTGTGACAACGTCCAAATCAGCGACGAGAAGAAAGATCTGGAGGAAGAGGAGGCGGCTAATGGGCCTCGGCAGATCCTCCCCTACAGCTCCATGTTCGTCTTCGGGCAAACAAATCCGTGAGTCACGGCCGGGAGGTGACGAGAGGAGTGAGACTGATGGTTCCAGTTGAAATTTCAAACATCAGAGAGTTTATAAAACACGTTATCAGCTTTTTACAGCAAACACAAGCCCAAGATGTGTCATTTAATTCACCAACGTTGTTGCAGAAGTTTTTAATGGTCACCTTTTGTTATATTATTAATCCGGGAGGTTCAAATCAGCGTGGAAGCTTTCGCATGTTGTCTTCACCTTAACGGACCCAGTGAGCCGTCACACTTGATGTGAACGTGTGTGGTAATGTGTGTATATGTGTGTGTGTGTGTGTGTGATGTCGTAGGGTGCGGCGGCTGTGTCACTACGTGGTCAACCTCCGCTACTTTGAAATGTGCATCCTGATGGTCATCACCATGAGCAGCATCGCTCTGGCAGCCGAGGACCCGGTGCAGGCCAACGCACCGCGCAACAACGTGAGTCAGACCGACAACCGGACGCCGCGAATAAACATC